TGGCAGTACATTTGGAGCTTGACCCATCACTGGGCCTTTGGGTCCTCCCCTGATCCGGGGTGTCCAGCCTTTGAGGATTTCAGCTCCTGGACACTTTCTTCTCACCGGGACGTCCCCTGCCAGTTGGATGGCGTTGCCTCGGCTTCTGTGTCTTGCGGACGTCTCACACCGCCTTCCTTCGCCATCACCAGGACGACCGGTCCGCGAGGGTCCCTTTCAAGCACATCGCTTCCAGACCAGCTTCCTCCTCTACTAGTCTCACTCAATCGTTTTGAGCTCTGTTGCCACTTAAAAAAAATTGTTTTTAATTGGGAGTTACGCATATATCATATGCTTCCATAGTTCAGTCACGTGGAGCAGAATTGGACAATTGCTACCACACTCCTTTTCCAGTTCCTGCTTCGTGCCCCCTCAAGCTGAGGTGGACTCAAAGCAGCACTGCAGGAGAGATGAGAACTGCCCTGTCGGGGGTCCAAGGCTGCAGTCTTTACAGGAGCAGATGCCACAGCCTCTCTTCCATGGACTGGGTGGGTTTGAACCACCAGCCTCTCAGTCAGCAGCCGAGTGCTTAACCACTGAGCCACGAGGACTCCTTCCTCAGAGCCCTACTTCCTTGCTTACCTATCATTATCACCATTCACCTGGATTCCTCTTCTCTTTGTCCCATTTACTTGAGCATACCGAGTGCTAGGGTTGAATTCAATTCCTCAGCGATTCCTTCTGTCCTGCGAAACAGGTTTATTCGATCAGCTGGGCGACCGTAAGCCTCCAGTGGACCTGCAGCTGTGGCTTGGCCCTCTTCGATGAGCTCTTGGCCGGGCCTTTTTCCAGCCTCAGCCCTGTGCTCTCCTGACTGACGATTTGACTGCAGGTTTCCCTGAGAAGCCAACCAGAAGGCGCTCCTTTCCTGCCCCACGTCTTCCCCAACAGCTCCACTCACGTGTTGTTGTCCCTCGGCCCTCAAGTCAATGCTGGCCCTCACGGCTCTGCTGGTCACAGCGTAGAACTGTCCCTGTGGGTTTCAGAGACCAATTCTCTAAGGGAGTAGAAAGCCTCCTCTTCCTCTCTTGGGAGTGGGTTGGTGGTTTCGAACTGTTGACCTTCTGCGTCAGCAGGTCTAATGGTATGAAAATGGATTCATCCTTCTGGCTCTGAAGGCCCTGCTTCTCTATTCCATCCCTGGAGACAGTTGCTCCTGCACCTGACCCTGCTCTCAGGGGCAGCATCCAAGGGTCTCTCTCCATGAGACACCAGGTCCACACAAACATGGCGGTGCCCTTTAGTTACACCCACCACCGGCTTTACATGGGACGCCCCCCCCCAGCAGCGCCTGCAAGAGGGGCCTGGCCTCCATGTCCTCCCCACCCTGACCCTCGAGCCCACCCACATTCTGTGCGTTCTGAGTTGTCCTTGTTCATTGCCAAAGCCAATGGCCATTAGCAGCCTTCACACGATCCTACTTCGCAGCAGCACCCAACAGAGCACCCGTCTTTCTTCCTGGAAAGACTCGGCTCCCCTTGACTTGTGGGATACCATCATCTTCTGGTTTGTCCCCTCTGCCTCCCATTGTTGCTAATAGCTACTTTCACTTGGCCACGTATGACCCATGGGTTCAATTTCCCAGTGAGTAGCTGGCCTCCGGTCTCTCTCCTGAGCTCTATCTTACTACGCCATCACCTCTGCCTGGAACTCTCTCTCTCTCTTTAAATTCCTTCCTTTGTAAGTCTGTCCCATTCTCAACACTGGCACAGCCCATCTGCTGAGGTAACCAAGCCTGGGGTTCATCTGTGACCCCTCCTTCTCAGCCCACATTCAATCCATCATCACGCCCTTCGGCTCTGCCTTTGAAGCTCAACTCGAAACCCAAACCCAGTCCTCGAGTTGACTGACTCAGCAACACTAGACAGAGAGGGTTCCCCAGGCTTTGTAAATCTCTCTGCGAGCAGACAGCCTCATCTTTCTCCCTTGGAGCAGCTGGTGGGCCTCAACCGCCAACCTTGCAGTCAACAGCCCAGTGATGAGACCACAGCTCCACAGTCCGACCACAGCTCCGAGGCCGGTTCTTCACACTTCAGTGACCCTTTGAAAACCTCAGGCTAGGTCATGTTACCTCTCATCTCAGACCTTCTAGTGGTTTCTCACGTTTCCACAGAGCTTTCACGTGGCCTGGGAAGCCAACCTTGCCGACCTCGCCGGCTAGGATTCCTCCTCCCCTTTGTCCTCCATGGTAAACCCCCTGTTCCACCCTAGTCGCCTGGCTAACTCCCAGCTTCACGGTCCTCTCTGCTCCAACGTCACCCACCCACCTCCACTCGGTCTTTCCCAGTCCACCAGGCCGAAAGGTCCTCACTCACCCTTCCCTGTGTCACCATCCAGTACAACAGAGGGGCTCCCAGCACCACCTCACACTGCACCGCGGGGCTTCCAGACGCTTGTGGAAAAGAGAAAGTGTTATTTTCCCCGTACTTACTGACCCTCCTCGTCTATTTATCGTATTGCTTAGAAGGCAAACTTCCCAGAGGGTGGGTAGGACGTGTTTCTGGTTCGTTTACTGCCTTAGTTCGGGGGCTGAGAACAAAAGGAATGTAGAAATACTTGCTGAATGAATAATTAATAACAAGAAGCTCAACTGGCCACTAGTCATCGAAAATGTTCCCTTTCCCTGGTAATTATGAAAACGTAGACACAGAGAGTTAAGGGTTGCGTTTGTGCTTAATGCTAGTACTTAGGGCTGGGGAGGGCTGAGTGCACCATTAAGAAGCTAAACGTGCGCGCGGATCCTGAGCCAGCAATTGCACTCTCCGGAGCGAAAGTGCGGAGCTATACGAAAACGTACAAACAGGGTGAGCTGCTGTAGTGCAATGCGCACACGCACACAGCTCTCCGGCCACCTGAAGACTGGCCAGACGTGGCGCTGGCTGCCATCTGAAGAGTTCGAGTCGTGGTGAGCAGAGCTGAATGCTCTACCGGGCTTTTCAAACATGTGGCCTTCCGGAGATGGATCACCAAGCCTCCCCTCCAGGGCACCTCTGGGTGGCCTCAAACAGCCCAACTTTGGGCTACGAGTCAATTGCTTAACCTTGGGTGCCATCCAGGAATGCCTAACCCAATAGTGTGTTCACACTCTTCAGATCAGGGAGCTACGGGGGGTGGGGGGCGGGGACTGAAAACTGTGAGACTCCCCAGGCAAAACCAGACTCTATGACAATGGGATCTCATTTTATTTTTTAAATCATTCTATTGGGGCTCTTACAGCTCTTCTGACATCCATCCATCCACTGTGGCAAGCACATTTGTACGTATGTTGCCACCATCATTTCCAATGACATTTTTCACTTAAGCCCTTGGTATAAGGTGTTCTCCCCTTCCTCCCCACCCCCTCATTATTTCCCCCCCATTGTTATCTGAGAACCTATGTTCACGCCGATGTTTCTAATAGTTGAACCCAAACAACTGCCTTTTAGGTAATGCTGACTCACAGCGACCCTACAGGACAGTGGAATTGGCCCCGTGGGTTTCTGAGGCTGTAACTCTACATTTACAGCACACAGCCTCCTCTTTCTTCCGTGGGATGGGTGGTGAGTTTGAACTGCTGACTTTGAGGTTAGCAGGCACGATGTGAAACCCATTACGCCATTGCCCCAACCAAATTCTTCTTTTTCTTCACAACTGTGCACTAAGCTTACGTTCTTCTCAGTAACTGCTCTCACACCACCACCGCAGAGGTGGGTGTCCGGAGGTCATGTGGAGCTTGGGGTGGGACTCAAGGTGATAGCCAGCGTGTCCAACAGCAACGGCAGCCCCTCAACCCAGGGCTCTTCACTTCCCAAGCTCACCTGTAAACCCACCCCACTCTGCCCCTTCACAGCAAGGCTGAGGTTTAAATGTTTCAAATCCACGAGGATAAGTCAGCAGCATGGCTACAAAACTGAACACAGACATCGAAACGGGAAGCCGTTCTTTTGAGACCGCCGCCACCTTGGCCCACGCACTCTGAAGGTGTCGTCTGCAGCTCTTGAAGGCCTCCCCACACACCTGAGCCGTGGGAACAGGGCAATGTCTCTCTCTGGACTCAGGAGTGTGCTCCTTTTCCACGTGGAGCTTGGGGAACAGTTAGCCTGACGGGCAAAACCAGGGCCCTGGGTGAAGGGGTTGACGCGTCCCAAGGAAACTCTCACAGCAGCCCTGTGACCCTCACCACAGACAGGGCATTGGGATGGGAGTGGGGGACTTCTCGACGTGCCTGGCTTTTCACCGGTGCAGCTTTCTGAGAGCTTCCCAGTAAGCCTGTGATTGATTGGTGTCCTTTGACAAAATCTACCAAGACGACCCTTTTGAAATCTGCTCCCCCTACCCCATCGCGCCAGCCCGGCAAAAAGGTTGTGGTTACCCTGAGCTGACCTCTCTGCTGTGAATGGAAACTGGCTGGGCAGATCCCCCTGGGAAACTGCTGCTTCGCTGGGATTCTTCCAAGACAAGTCCATTCCGGAGGGAACGATCCATTGATCAGTGAGGCACGTTGAAGCACTTTTGTCCCAACAAACCCGTGCACGGATGACTGGAACCCTACTCGCACACCTCCTGGGCCTAGTGAACCTGCCGTTAACACAGCCTCACGCTGACGCTGGCCATGATGCTTGCCCACCCAGAGCTGCTGGACGGACATGCACTTTGACTTCAGAAACAAGCATCTTTGGAGAAAGGCGGGACCGAGTTGCGAGACCAAGAACAGATGACCCTTTCCTGATACGGATCACTCATGAGTCTATCAATCCAGGTTCCCCTCGGGGCTCTGGCCATGGGTGTAAGGGGAGGACCGGGAGGCCGACTGAAAGGGGAGCTGGGAGCCCACAGACAGCAGGCTGAGACCAAGGGCCACAGGACCAGTCGGCAAGACACCGCCTTCCACTGGAGCCAACTACTGCCTTCCCGGAACCGATGTGGCTGACGTTCAAAGTCTACATACACATTTTTAAAAAGCAAGATTGCCAGAGACCAGCGGCTGTTTTCCATTTTTAATGTTTGGAAACCCACAGTCTGCAAAACGAGTCCCCCCTCCTCCTCTAAAATAAGGAGAACAGATCCCTGAATCCCACCCCGGATGCTTTTTCAGGTGAAACCAAAGGAAAACTCCAGTGGCTTCCACTTCACAGCATCTCCGGTGGGGAAACCGGCCTAACCAAATAACTTACGCTCTTCAAGAGCAAGCATAAACACTCAACCAATGAGGTAGCGGGCAGTCAGCAACTCTCAAACAGGTCCTCATCGAAATGAGGCAAGTCCAAGGGGTCACCGGTTAGCGCATTCAGCGCTGAAGTAGAAAAAAACTCATCAAAAATATCCGTCTTCACGGGGCTGTCCAGGTCCAAGGCCTGAGCGCAGGTGTGACTTGCCCAGGGGCTGGCCTGGCCGCCGTCCAGGTCTTTCTTGGTGGGACTGCAGTAATTGTGGTCCCCTCTCGGGTGCGAGTTTTGGGGACTCAAGCCTAGTTCGCTGGGGGCTGGGACTGGGACTGGGACGTGGTTGTCTCCCATTTCCAGGTACTGAAAGTCCACCTCCCCGGGCTCGGGAAGTGCAGGGGACGCCACAACTGCAGGACAGAGCAGCTCAGCTAAAATCTCTTCCTGCGTCTGGCCGCTGAGTGGGGACGCGCTGGGCAGTGGGGGACCCCCGGCTGAGCTGTCCGCAATATCGATCTGGTACTGCAGCTCATTTAACAACTGTTCGATGGAGTCACAGTCGCTGGGGGAGCCACAGTGAGATGTGTTCTCCAAGGGGTCCCTGGGGGGCATCCCACTTGGGGGGGAGGACGAGGAGGAGGCAGGGGAAGAGGTGAGGGCAGCCAGCTTCTTCTTTTTGGCCCGGAGCTTCTTCAGCAGCTTCAGCCGGAGCTGGTGGATCTGTCCCTCCCTTGTCTCTCCAAGGGCAGCTGCCGAGAACCCTCGGTCCTTGCCAGGAGAGGCGCTTCCACCCATCCTCTGAGGGCCCAGGTCAGCGGTGCCAATGGGGCACGGAAGAGATGCTGTGCCCCCTGAAGCAGGCTGGCTTGGGAGTTCAGGGGGCTTACTCGCCCACTTATGGGCCTTCTTGGATGCCCGGGATGCCTTCTGGCTCCCTGCTTTCGTCTTGAAGCCGCCAAAGTTCCGCGCACCTTTCACAGATGGCTGCAAGCCCGTGAGGGCGGTCCTGGCCTGCGCAGACACGCAGGGTGGCATGAAGGAAACGCCCCTGCTTAGCAGGCCTTGCACCCAGCTCCCTACAAATGGCTTCTTCTGCACCTCGTACACGGGCTGCTTTGCTCCGGGCCTGGCACTGCCAGGCCCAGCACCCGATGCCTGGGAGGGAACGTGTGGTTCTGGCTTTAATGCCTCTGCGCCCGGAGGAGAACGATGCGCCAGCTGAGCGCCTGCCTGCGATTCCCCTGGCCCCTCTCCTTGCTGAGGTGCAGCCGCGGGACCAGTGTGCCCGGGAGCAGCGGGGAAGGCATCTTGGGTCCCTGGGGGTCCTGGGGGCAGGCTTGCACCTGGACCTGGGGATGGAAGCCGGACATCCAGAGTTTGGGCTTGGACGGGCTTTTCTGCACATGGAGCTGCCACTAAAGAATCCAGGAGGGAGTCCAGCGACAGCGACGGCGACAGCCTTGCAGCCAGCGCAGGCTGATCTTCTCCCTCGGGCTTGTTTTCTAACGGGAAACACTCTGAGCCGGCCTCTAGTTCATCCAGGGTCAACGCAAGGATGTGACTGCCGGCCAGCCCCTGGGGACCTGAAAGGGCAGGGTCCTTGGGAGCACCACCGGACCCAAGTGCGGGCTGGGTTACAGGAGATCCTGGAGCTGCGATCGGGCTGCCCACCGGGCCCACAGGTGAGAGCGTCTGGTTCTGACTCCCCAAAGTGTCTCGGTCATTGGTCTCTGTAAGTGGAAGGCTGGCGGTTGCGTTAGCTGGCGTGGGAGAGGGTTCTCTCTCCCAAATAACAATGTGAATCTCTGAAGCTGGAACTTCAAATCGCTCCCGTCTCTCAGAACACGGGCCTTTTAAGTCATCGCATTCAAGCCAACTTCCTGAGGGAACGAGAAAGAACAGGCAAGAGGTTAGACATGCAAAGGATGCCATTCTAGTCAATAACCCTTTCCATGCTGGGTCTCTGGGCCCCGGCCAGAGGGGAACAGCTGACACGTGGCTCGTCACCATGCAACAGCTGGTGTTCAGGTCAATGGAGCGATGAAGGGCAGCTTGCTTAGGAGAGAGTCGTTTATAACGCCCCCCCCCCCCCGCCCCCCATACCCATGAAACTCAAGACCAAAGTGTACCTCCATGTGGAGCTGAAGTTAAACGAAGCCCCTTTCCACAGGTGCAACCCCCGCTTCCGTTCTTAAAGAACCTCTGCCTTTCCATGGAAACGAGATGATGGATGGCCAGGGAAGTGTTTAGGGCTAGGTCGAGTCTGGAGTGTCAAGCCTTCAAGGCTTGTGTCACTGCGACAAGACGTGGGAGGCACCGGTGTTGACGGTAGGTGGGGCTGCTGGCCTTTCTTTAGGTCAGCACCATCTCAGGTGGGCAGCAGGGCTAGGTGGCAATCAGTCTGAATGATCTGTGGTGGTTAGATAACTTTACGTCTGCATGAGGATGTATTAAAGTATAGGGATGAAATCCAACCTGCCCATCAGGTCAGAACCTGATGGCATCTCCGTGGGGGTGTGGCCTTCTATAAGGAGGACCCTGGGAACCTCCTCGTGTCTCTGCCACTTTGCCTTCCTGCCTGCTGGGACTCTGCTGGAGCCCTGGCCTGTTTGCACCCACCTCGGACCCACGATCCTCCTGCGTTCTGCATTGCCGCGGTGGCCACGTGAGCCTGAAGAGGGACGCAGGGGCTAGGGTCGTACTTTTGGACTTGCACTGGACTGGGTGGGGCAATCTCTTGATATTTAATTACTTCGTGATGTGAAATTCTTATACATATATGTCACTGGATTTGTTTCTCCAGTTGACCTGGCCTAACACATTAGATTATCCCCTTCCTAAAGGGGAAAAAAAAAGCAAGACTAAGCAGTAAAGGAAGATGGCGAGGTGCTGGAAGGCGATGGGTCAGGGAAAGTGTGCTTTGACATTTCTACGTTACTATCGCAGGTGAACTAGGCAAGGGCTAACTGTCAGCCTGGCAGGGAACAGCTTTTACAAAGCCAGCCACTCCGCGTGCTCTTCCTGCAGATGTCTCCAAGCTATCCAGGAGCCGCGGCCTCCATCAGCACTCACACTTGGGTGACACAGAGATGAACAGAAAGGGGCCACTTTCAAGAGCACTGGGACACGGCACTGGCTCCTGTTGAACTAAGTGAGATGAACTACCCCCATCACACTTCTGAGTTAGGCCTTTCCGGTCGGGCCCCACAGTGGTGAACACCCCAGGGACTGTGCCTGCTGCAGGGAGGTGTGGCACTTCACAGTGTCCTTGGACTTCCCAAGTCCCGCTCCCCACACCCTGTGCCAGGAGTAAGTCTGAGGGCCGCCTGCCAGTAAATAACTGTGTGAGCGCATTCAGTGTCCTCCTTTGCTGTGGGAACTCCTGGTTGATAGAGAGCGGGCGGAGCCAGGATCTACTTTCTAGTGCCAAGAAAGCCTTCTCACAGGCTCAGGAGCAGGCTCGAGGAGTGGAGGGATGAGGAGGAGTAAGGGCTGTCTTCATGGCTACGACCCATTCAGAGACACCGCTAGGGCACCATTAGTGACGGAGAACCACGGAGGACCCAGGCCTCACACAGACCGCACCACCATGTCCAAAGGGGGGAATGAGAAGGCAAGACGGCAAGGACCCACTAAAATACCTGGTACAAACGAGCCTCTGGAGCGGATCCAAATCTATGTGATGAACGAAAGCAAATGGCTCGTCTGTGCGGTCAGGGTCGGAAAGCACACTTCCCGAGAAGGTGCGCCAAAAGGGGCGTCGTGCCAGCCTCCCTGAGGCCCTCAAGGAGGCGGAAGGTTCCCCTGGGCAGCACTGGGTCACTCTGAGACAGAACACCGGCCCCCACGGGCGCGACTGCCCTGCTCTCCGCACGGCCAAGTGACCCACCCAACGCTGCCGAGCAATGGAAAGCAGCACAGGCGCTCTTCTGGATGGGCGCTGGCTGGTGCTCCTATGAACATTGCTGAGCAGGATGACTGCCTCTGCGACGGGAGTCTCCCTCTGCACTCTGGACGGTCCAGCTAAACCATCACGGGGCTGGGGGTGGGGGTGGGGTCCCTGCACGCACCGGGGCCGGGATACTTGGAGTCTCTCCAATTTGGAAAATGCCCAAGCAATAGGAAACGTCACACCAAAGTGACAGACATCCCCCCAGCGCCTTCCTATACGCACACACGCTGCCAGGGACACGGCCCGGGCCCAGCGACCAATGAGAGCAAGACGCACTCACTGTGCCCACGGGAGAGACGCAAGGGGCTTGAGCAGATCTGACAGTGTCCTTATTTGGCCCGCTAGTCAATTCCGTGATGTTGACAAGGCTCTCCCACGCTTTGATGGAGGTTTAGCCAACTGTGGATTCCCCATCTTCCACGTCAGGTGGGGACAAGCTGCGCAAACAGTCTGACGCTGACCCATCCCAGAGCTTTCTAGCTTGCCAGCGTGAAGTGCTACCATCGCAAACCAGGCAACAGTGGTTGTAGTTTGCCGTTCTCTCAGAGAAGGAACAAACGCTAACACCCACCTGGTGCTTTCCTCAATGAGCAGGGGCTACTCATGAGCCGGAAACAGAAAAGGAAATCACAGACCCTCCTGTGAGAAGGCACACACACGGACCAGGGCTCCCGGAGGGTCCATGCTGCTTTCCTGGGAAGGGGGAGGAGGGGCGGGGGTCTGCTCTTGGTAATGGCAGATGTGGACCCGAACTCAGGTGTAGTGAGCGCAATAAATAAGGTCGCCCAGCAGTGCTTATGAGAAATGGACGAAAACTTGTATACACACGTGGACAGGGACATGGGTGAGGAGGGGCCTGTGTAAGAGTGCAAATAGCATCTCTCTGTAAGCACAGACAGGTGGGTGCAGGCACACGTGTTCAGAAGAGACAGTTAGAGATACTTCTCAGACTTCACTGGGCACTTTCCAGGGGTTTGAAGGCTGAGGGCTCAGCCCCACGGGATGGCTCGGCCAATCAGCATCGAGAGTCCAGAGTCAGCTCAGTGAGTGAGTAGCGTCTTAAAATCTGGGCGCAGCACTGAAGACACCGCCACTGGTCTCCCCTTGTCAGGAGCCAGAGGCTCGCCAGCGCCACAAGGAGGACCAAGCCTGCGCGGCTGGCAGCTCACAGCCAGGACTCAGCGACCAGGACCACCATGGGCAGAGCCCCCAAGGGGCAGAGGCCACAACAGATGACCCTGCTAGCACGGGACAAGGCAGGACAACGCCCACATTCAAACCTAAGACCCGGAGGCCAGCGGACTCCCCGAGTGTGAGACACTCGTCCCGAGACACGGGCGGAACCACCTCAGGACGGAAGAGCAGCGGGACCTACAGGACAGCACTCTGGCCAACAGTCTCCCTGGTGCACAGGGCAGCAGGGAGTCAGAGCACAGGGAGCGCAGCCTGTGGAGACGCTGACCCCAGTGGGGACGGCAGAGCTAACGCTGCTGTGGTTGCTCGGCATGGGAAATGTCCAAGGGGACTGACCTGCGGTGTAAATGTTCACCAGAAAACGCAGTGAAGTGTTATTTTAAATAATAATACGAAAAGCCAGGGACAAGTTTTGTTGTTGTTATTGTTTTAAAAATACCAGCATTTGGTTCCCATGCCTACACCGTTAAAAAAACACATTTTTAAAACACTTACCATCGGCATCTAGGATCCAGGTGATAAAGTGACTGTTCGCTCGGTACTGAATCACGGAGGTGGCCCGGTAGAGCGTGCCTGCGAAGTGAAAGGCGTACTGCTGGAGGTCGCCGTGAGGTAAGCCTTCCACAAAGTGCACCATGAAGACGGGGGAGAGCCTGGGGGGGGAGAAGGCAGGCACCATCAGGGCTGTGTGCTGCAGGACACCGGCCCGAATCTGATTTCAAGCTGGCAGCACTCAGTTTCCCCACGTGCCTCTCCAGATGAGCGACTGATTAGAAACGGGACTCTCACGGACCCCTCGGAGCACGACCTGGCCGACAGCCGGCACAGCCGGCAGGAAGGCTCACAGGCCACATCACAGCAACGGCTCTGGAACAGCAGGACGGCTGGGGGAGAAGACCCCTGAGCAGTGATCAGAAGCTAAGGCCCAAACCACCCCCCTTCTCCATTTGAGAATCTGCAATGTTCTTTGCTGTCAAGTTTATACATCACTTGCTTTTGTGGGACAGGAGGGGAGAAGTGTACAACAAAGTTACAACCCCAAGATAGTCAATAAAACCAACACAACAACAACAAAAATCCCATGACAACATGCTGATAATTAGGCCAATTTTAGTTATCTCAGGAAACAGACAATAAAATTTCCACTTGGTAAAAAAAAGCTCAATTTGTAACCAGGGAGAAAAGGCAATTTGACATACTGATTGATGTACTGTAAACTCCTGAACATCCATGTAATTTACCTTTAAAAATTACATGCCACACATCAGAAAAGAAAATCCAAAGATGGGCCAGAAATGGCTAAATTTAACCAAGCCTTCAGGATTTAAGGAAAACGTCAAACGACTCCTTCCTCAATATTTAAACAGCTGTCAAACTTCCTTGGCTTAGCAGAATGATCCAACCGAGACACAGACTTGAATCAATGTCCGAGACGCAGACTCGGGCTGGCGGGGCCATGCTGTCAGTCACTGCCAAGCACCACAAAGAAACGCCCTGCAAACTGTCCGAAAGGCCACTCTTCAAACCCAATTCCTTTTCAAAGTCACACCTCCCTTCCTGAGTTCTCAGCCATCAGTGTCCGCGTTCTCCCAATGACCCTTCGCCACTCATCTGCAGACACATGACAGTCTCACAGCGGGACACACGCACCTCAGCGCCCTGGTCTCTACTGACTAGTATTTCACACGATACTACCGAGGCCTGTTACTAAAGGCCCTCTGGTGGATCTCCAAGCTAGCCGATCCCAGCAGCTTCCTGAGCTGTGTGTGCACAGAGAACACTCTCACAGACCCACTCATGAGAACGAGGAATAAAACCACCTGGCACGTGTGGTCTGTGCTGCTCACACCCCCTAGCCGTCCAGAAGACTTTTCCGCCACTCACTGAGTGAGAGCGGCGAAGATGCGGCCTCACACCAAGCCCAGGCCCGACCACAGTGCATGTGCAGACTCCAGTTCGGCACAGGAACTGACTGGTCAGGGAAGGACAGACAGCCAGGTCTTGTACAGACACCCGCAAGTGTCTGGTGTTCACTGCAGCTGACTGACTTAATAATCCATCTTTCAGAAAACATGCTGTAATAATGCATGCTGGTTTCAGGAAAATTCACGTTGCTCTCTAAACTTCATTATATCTTAGATCAATCACAGCATTGGTTAAGCTAGTTTAAGACCCTAAGACAATATAAACACGATCAACTGAATCCAAATGATTATCATCGATCTACATTAGAAACAAGAAAATAGCTTCAGGAAAAGTCAACTGTTCAACAAAGGTTCACAAACTATATTCTTTGGAGGTTAAGGTTGAGGGGTTTTTTTTTTAAAGCAGTACAATTGTTTGTTTACATTACAAAAAACAGATTTTTAACTCCTATTATCAACCCTTCACCCAAAATGTTATCAGGGGATGGAGTTTATCTTTTCGGTAGAGCCTCAAGCTCGCCGTCCTTGAGTCGACGCTGGCTCGCAGCGACTCGCCAGGACAGGGAGAACTGGGCCTGTGGGTTTCGGAGACTGTAACTCTTGAAAGGAGTAGAAAGCCTCGTCTTTTTCCCACAGAGCTGGCTGGTGTTTTCGAACTGCTGACCTTGGGGTTAGCAGCCCAATGTGTAACCGCTACGTCACCAGGGCTCCTACAGTGCCTCAAAAGCGAAGCTTTAATAAGACAGAAGACAGGCCATTTCTCTTCCGTGGAAATAGAAGGTGAAAGAAAGAAGCTGCTCGGGTGCCCGAAGAGGAAGGTGCTGACCAGCTCCCACGGCAGGAACGAAACGTTGGTCTCAAGAGTCTGCGGAGTAAAAACTACGCCTGATGGGAAGCTCCTGTGCTTCAAGTCACCACGGTCTGAACGGAGCTCAGAGGAAAAGCAGCGCCCGCACACCCTCCCCGAGGTGGGCTGCCGACCAGGCGCCCGGGGAACGCAGCACCACCCACTGTCAGAATGCTCTCAGGCAGGCTTACCCATGGTGACCACAACGAGGCTACTCTCAGGTCAGCCCTAGCAGCCTGTTTAATTTGTTTCTAAATCCCATGAAGACACCAACAAAGAGCCAAAGCAATTTCAAAGTAAAATACTACAAAGACCCGTATCAAGCTCCTGTCATTGAAATTTTAAGGGAAATTTCACACATTAGCTCAATTTACTTGGATGAATACAAGGAACGCCAAATTACAGGGTCTGCTTAAAAAGGGGCCGCTGGAAGGTAGTGCACACACTGCCCACGGAAACACGACCGGCCTTGCCCACCCGTTCCCAGGTGGGCACCGCCCCACCCTGTGGCGAGAGTGAAGTGTCAGGGAGACCTGCGCTGCAGCCCATCACGAGCCCCTACAAAATGAGGGCTCACCACCAACGCCGAGCCTGAGTCACTTCACCAAGACGCCCGCCCAGCACAAGACGGCAGACACTCACACTCGGCTCCGCTCGGACCGCACCGAGGGGGTGGGACAGGAATCCTTCTCCTGTCCCCTCAGACAACAGGCGTGTCCCACGCAGTGCTGTGACAAGGGAGGGAAGGAGACAAAGGCTGGCGTCAGCAGCACTCAGGAGCGCGGCCCGGTGAGAAGGGATGATGTACGGGACGCTGAGCAGACCCACTGCTTCCAGGAGGCACGGCTGTGCAGCCTGGCCTGGAGGCCCCTGCTCAAAACGAAGCCGGTGATGGCAAGACAGGACTACCCAGGTGCTGAGCCCACAGAGGAAGCAACAGAGGCTGAAGACAGACAGGACAGTAGTAAAAAGAGGCTTTTGGGAAAGAAAAATTTCTAAAGAAACTCAGAGGAGTACTTGGTAAATTTATGGGGTGGGAAGGCAATGTGTACATAAATGAAAGCAAAGGCAATCAACAGGTCTGAGGAAACAAAGCGTGAGGAAAGGAATGATGCCACCTGTCGGTCACGTGGCTCACAGCGTTCACTGTGAACAACCACGCCGACGACAAGAGGAGGAAACAAGCCCGTGGTGGTGGAGAGACAGGGAGGAGGGCTAAGGAAAGACGGGGCGGGCCCAACCTCCACCGCCCAGAGAGGAGACCAGACGCACCAAACCAGACTGCCGCCGCCGTCACGGTGCGTATCACCTTCAAGGGCGCAAAGCCCGTGCCTGGGGAAGGAGTCACAGCAGGACTGCTCTCTTTAGGGCAAGAATGCGCTGCTTCAAAGAAAATTCACCTTTTAAGAAAGAGCCAGAGGCATTTCTGGCCACACTCGCAAGGGCATCAGAGGATAATCGCACTGGCTCTTTATCACAAGACACCTCAAAGTAGTTCCCTCAACGTAGAGTTGGGGAGAGGACAGCCTGAAATGAAGGTACGTACGGAGTGTGTGTGTGTGTGTGTGTGTGTGTGTGTGTGTGGTGGGGGGGGGTACAGTCACAAAAGCAAGATAGACAGATGCACTGCCTGGAATGAAACGGGGCTTCTATTAAAGCAGGAAGCTAGTCCTCCCCGGAACCTCTCGCTGAGGACAAATGGAAAAGCTGAACAGAACATAATACATATTCCCATCTGCTCAGAGGCAGCCGCGAGCTCACAAGATGATGAGAATTACCGAGATGAAGTCCGGGAGATGGAAATTCAGAGCAATGTGCCTACAACTCATCTATGAATCATCTTGGTTCTTGAAATCAGATTAAGGTAAACCCCAGAACTGAGAGACTCCGGCCACTTGGAAGGAGAGAAAAACAGAAGCCTCATATCCCTCCGGGAGGGAAAAGGCCAAAGGAGGGAAACACCTCGTTTCTTCATTGAAGAAGCGGGCACTGAGCCGTGATGGCTGCACACTAGCCGTGGCAGGTGACAATCCCAAACTACGATCAACTCAGCTGTCTCAAGGCCCAAACGAACGCAGCACTTCTCAAGGCAGGTTGTCGCTATCATAAGAGCCCCCACCCTCTCCCTCTGAAAACGGCAAGGCCATCTCTCACTCACTTTTCCAAGGTCATTCTCCGTATTTGGGACTTGTCGCTGCAATTGTTGCACGGGCCAAAATGGGCAGCATTAAGCGGGTGCCACTCAGGGACGACACGTGTAAAGGTGACCAGAGTCTTCATACACCTATTTCAAAAAACAACAACAAATAACAAACATGATGTAATTCACTTGCATCAAACGAAAGAAAGGCATTAAACCCACGTCTGACTAAGGCCGTTCCCTTCCCTCGCTGACTCGTCCTCGGGCACCGGTGAGTCAGCACAGCACGTCTCCAGACCGACCAGTCGTGGAGGCCTTCCTGATGACCCCTCCCTCATCAGTCACCTAGAGCTTTCCACCAGGACAGGCAGCAAGGACATGCTGTTCTAAGACGGGCTCCTCACGCATCCTTCTTGGCTGTGGGCTGGCCAATGCACACAGGATCCCCCTAGGCTTAAAAGGCCAATTTTGCCCCCGGAATTATGGAGGCAAGTAAGCAGGGGGATAAGATATTTTAAATGTGAAAGAAAAGCACTGTTACTGTCATTCAAAAAGTGAGAGTAATACTTAGACACTGCTAGACAGAAACAGATGGAACTTCTTAGCCACTAGACAGGACCTTCCAGAAATGTGGAGTGAGTTCTTTATGAGGAAAGAAAGGACATGGGGTAATCGTAATTCACAGATGTAAATACAAGGGAGAAAACAACTGCATTGAAGGCAATTTCTTGGCAAGAATAAGGGCAAGACTGAAAGGACTTTGGGTGGGTAGACAGTTTTTATGCTTTTATGCTTTATGGAGATAAATGCATAACAAGTATGAATTTACGCTACAGGGCACCAGAAAAGCCACACCTAGCTCACTGCCATGCAATCAGCGGTGACTCACAGCCACCTCGTGGGTATGTGAGACTGCAGTCTCTTCCTGGGGAGCTGTTGGTGGCCTCGAACTGCCAACCACGTGGATCGTAGCCCAACAGTCACCACTGCACCACGGGGTCTCCTTGTTATGAAAATGTTAACAAGTGATAACAACATGAGCCAGGGAGAGAGCGGTCGTGTAAGCACAGAAGTATTGGGTGCTATTTGAGTTGGTAAAAACCAGACTCAGCGGCATCAGGTGAGTGTCCACTCATGGAGACCTCCAGGGCAGGTGGAGCTGCCCCGTGGGTTCCTGAAACCGTGACTGCCAGGGGAGATGCGGCATCAAAGTGGCTGCTGTTTTGAACTGCTGACTTTGCAGTTACCGGCGCCAGGCTCACCACTAGTCAGAACGGACGTGATGGCAGTGAGTTTGTTCCCGCTGTGGTTCAGTTTAAGTCGCACTCAAGTTAAACCGGGTTATCAGAAATGCTACAAGGTCCAATCGAACCCCCCTGGTAACCACAGATAAACAAGGCAGTCTAACACACACAGACGAAAGGAAGGAGCTGAGAAACAAAGTGGCTCGTCCCTCGTGCCATCACACACACAAAGGCAGCAGTAAAAATGGGTGGGGGGTGTGCCAAGGAGGTACGATACGGCAAGCAACTACTGACGAGACGCACGCGGGCCGTCGTTCTCAGTGATGACCACGCTGCAAATGGGTGAAAGTCCCAAGTCACCAGAACAGTGCAGATGAGTAAAAGCACATGATCTCACAGGAGGAGCTTCAGGGCACACGCTGGTCTGTGTCCACAGTAATCAAGGGAGCCTGCCTGGTGATCTTACCCAGACGAGCTGGTTTTAAGTCAACATCTATTGAGAGGCAAAGACAGACGCTACCTATCAATAAGAGCCTCAATTCAACAGAGAGATAAAGCTACCACAAATGTGTATCTACCTAAAACTTCAGAGCCTCAATGCCTACAAGACAAATGCTGACAGAATTGAGGGAGAAACGAGCCAACCGCTGTAGCTGGAGCCTTCAACACACCACCTTCCTGAACGGGCACAACCACCTGCAAGAAATTAACATGCAGGCGGGGCCGACACAGCACTATCTGCCCAACTAGGCCCAGCCGGCACAGAAGACAGCACGGTTTACGTTCGTCCCCAGCACACACGGGACAATCTCCAAGGCAGACTGTACCTAAAGACACAACAGATCTGGAAAAAACATACAAGGAACGAAATCATATGTCATCTTTTCCAAGGAAACTGGAATTACAAGGACGTGTGGAAACGAACACGACACTGCTAAGCTGCCCAGGAGGGGTCCAGGAGAAGCTGAGCGAGGATCAGAAGCCCCCGAAGAGCGAATGAAATGAAAGCACACCGTGCCGTGGGGACAGACAGGCCCAGCGGGAAGTCGCAGCAGTACCGGTCTGTGCCCATCATCGGAAGACTAACTCCATAACGACACGGACAATCCACAGGACTGCATCAGGAAGAGCAAAATAGGCCCCGAACTACAAACGGAAGGAAGTGACCAAGACTGGAGCAAAGACGAATGACAGACAAGAGAGAGCCGATACAGCTGGACTGACAAAGAAAGAGACAATGCTCGCTCACATCGAACACCCGCCATGACTGTGGAGGCACCTCTACAACCACCAATCCTACAGGAGCAGAAGGAAACTATTACGACAAATGAGATCATTCAGGAGATGAACACGAACTTCCTGTACTGACTCAAGAAATGGGAATCTCATTAGGAGAGGTGAAAGCCACAATCAAACACCTCCCAACACAGAGGCCGAGAACGAGACTCTGCTGGGGACTCCACCACACTTCAACAGATGAGGGACAGCAGCAACAACATGGGCGAGAAGGGATAGATGCTTCCTAACTCATTCTACGAGGCTAACACTGTCCTCATGACAGCAGAGCCACGGACAGGAGGGAAGAACACAGTGGAGACACGGTGCAGGAATTGTGCCCAATCTGAGCTCACCACACCGACGCAAAACACTAAGGGTGTGCAACAAAACAGCAAGGGGAGTAAGCCATGAAGGAATACCACAAATAGACTTTGGGGCCAGGGCTTGGCACCCCATGAGACTCGAATGGAAAACACTCCTAAAGGTCAACAAACAGACCTTGAACTATTTACAGGCTTTTCTTTTTTTTGTCCTTAGTTTGTTGTTTTCTTTTGTTGCTTTGTTTTCCTCCGTATTGTTTTTGTATTTACTATTGTCTCTGCATGTCTAGCTAGATAAGATAGGTGGGATAAACAATACGGAGGAGAAAACGGGGCATGGGGGGAGGGGGGGGGGAGGAGGAAGCGGATGTTAACAAACCCAGGGACAGGGGAACGACAAGTGATCTAAAGTCGATGGAGAGGAGAGTGTAGGAGGCCTGGTAGGGCTTGATCAAGGACAATGTAACTGAGAGGAATTACTGAAGCCCAAACGAAGGCTGAGCATGATAGTGGGACAAGAGGAAAGTAGAAGGAAACAGAGGAAAGAACTAGGAGGCAAAGGGCATCTATAGAGTTCTAAATACAGCCATGTACATATGTAAATATACTTATATATTAAGTATACGATGGAGAAATAGATCTATGTGCATATATTTACAGGTTTAGTATTAAGGTAGCAGATGGACATTAGGCCTCTACTCAAGTACTCCCTCAACACAAGAACACTTTGTTCTATTAACCTGGCATTCCACGATGCTCACCTTCCCAACATGATCGCTGAAGACAAAATGGGTGCAATAAGCAAATATGGTGAAGAAAGATGATGGTGCCCAGCTATCAAAAGATATCGTGTCTGGGGTCATAAAGGCTTGAAGATAAACAAGCAGCCATCTAGCTGAGAAGCAACAAAGCCCACATGGAAGAAGCACACCAGCCTGTATGATCATTAAGTGTCGACAGGATCAGATATCAGGCATCAAAGACCCAGAACAAAAAAATCCTATCACTGTCAATGAGGGGGGATGCAGAGTGGAGACCCAAAGCCCATCTGTAGGCAAACTGGACATCCCTTACAGAAGGGTCACAAGGAATAGAACAGCCAGTCAGGGTGCAGTATAGCACAGGGTCCAGTTCTTTAATGCTCCTCCCTCCCACTATCATGACCCCAATTCTACCTTACACATCTGGCTAGACCAGAGCATGTACGAGTACAGATCAGAGCTGGAAACACAGGGAATCCAGGACAGATAAACCCCTCAGGACCAACACTGAGAGTGGCCATACCAGGAGGGGAAGGGGGAAGTTGGGGGAGAAAAGGGGAACCGATCTCAGTGATCTCCCTATATCCCCCTCCCAGGGGGACGGACAACAGAAAAGTGGTGAAGAGTCATCGGTCAGTGTAAGACATGACAAGTAATCATGTATAAGTTACCAAGGGTTCGCGAGGGAGGGAGGGGAAAAATGAGAAGCTGATACCAAGGGCTCAAGTAGAAAGAAAATGCTTTGAAAATGATGATGGCAACAGATGTACAAATAAATATGCTCGACACAATGGATGGATGTGTGAATTGTGGTAGGAGTTGTCCAAGTCCCCAATAAGAGATTTTCAATGGGGAGCTAATAAGATGTAGATTATGGTACAATAAGACTGTTTAAAGGTGAAAGGAAGAAGAATCCATCATCTCAACAGATGAAGGAAAGCGCTGACAGAAAGTCTCCATGACAGTGACTCCGCTAGCCAGGGCCAGGCAACGCCTCGACCTGATGTCACACACTCACTGAACACAGGGAGACGGCCTGGGGCTTTCCCTGCAGATCAGACTGGACATGCATGCCCTTCCTCGCCGCGTGGCCCTTGGAACTCAGGGCAGAAAGATACAAAGTCTCCAAACCAGACTAGAGCACGTGAAAGCATCCCTTTCCACAGCGACATGATCACATATTGATGTAATCATGATCACACATGACACCAAGCACACACGATATTATCACGTATGATCATGTCACATACACCTATCTAGATAGAGCTCACATATCTAAGACACCCCACCGATTCTACAAGAAAGCTACTAGAAGACCAATGTGTTGAAACTAATGATCAAGAGCAGTCACGAGCAAGTCAGGCGAGGTGAGGAGGGTGGGAGGGGAGGAGGGAGGAAAGATGGAGTCACTGCCCGGGAGACAATGAACTCCTTTTATGATGGCGGACTAACTCAGCAAGGGCTGCCCGACTGACAAACAGCATCTGTGCCACTGAGCTGTTCATATACAGTGTTGACCGGGCAAAGATTTTGGCCCATGTTGTTTAATGTGCTGCATGTGTGCGTGCATGGTCAAACAAACCACACAGACAGACACACACACACACACCCATTAAAGATGCTACTGTGTTACGCAGCCTGGACTGACTCATCACCCACAGGGCCAGTTTGACGTTAACAGAGCCTGTGTGCAAGAGGTGCTTTCTACGTTCAGGGTCAGGTAGGGTGGCTTTGGGGGAAAGTGATTTCTAAAGCAGTGGTTCATTATTCAGTAGAATCGTTCATTATTCAGCAAAATATCACGGAGAGGAGTTGCTACTAACATGGACATGTGCGGTAAAATACCAAGTGTACTAAAGATACAGAACTCTATACACAACGGACTGCTGACCAACAGACTTGGTCTGCATGGGTTCACTTACACAGGGATTTTTCTCTTCAGTGAGTACACTGAACTTTTTTATGATCGGACATGGAAATGAAATGGTGGAAGGACTGGTATGGTGGAACAACATTTTAGAGAAATGAAAAACTGAGAAAGTCAGACTTTACTTTGCATTTCCCTAAGGTTCATGGAGCGTGCCCACCTCTCCTGCCTTCCCACCAAGACAGCCCCAGCAGCCCCTCCGCTACTCTCCGTTCCTCAGTCAATGCCCGAGAGGCATTGATTAGCAGCCAGCACAAACTCCGTGTCAACTACGACAGCCAGTTCAGTACAGGCACCCTCAGTAAGATGTTCCCATCTCTACCCTACTTTATTGTGAAAATCCAGTACACAATGCGTAACTCATAAGAAGGTGTTAGCAGTTTATGATATCAATAAGGCTTCAGACAACAGGAGGCCATTGATAACTAAGGTTTGTTTGGGGAAAGCTAAACTTGGATTTTCCACTGCACGGGGCTCAGCACTCCTAAGCCCTGGTCAACAGGGTCAGTTGTAGAGAAATGCAAATCTGGAAAATGCGACCTGGCAGTTAAAACCCAACAAGTTTTGAACACACTAGAACCTAATACATGCTCAATGGAGAAAAACAGAAATTTTCGGTATTTGGGGCAAGCAAGAAGGGAGTCGCTTCTTTTGAAACCACCAGCATATACTTGCACCTGCCGCGGCGAGGAGGGCGGGCTGCTGGGAACCCAGCGGGCTGGGGACGAGGGGCGCAGAGCACGGAGCCCACACAGGGGCCAGCATGCACTGTTCCCAGGGAACATTACACAGGGCACCGTTTGTTGTCTTCACAAGGAGGAAGCCAAGGGCAGAAGCCCTCAAATACAGTGCCCGTGCCCACCAGAGCACAGTGCTCGGAGCACCGGGCCTTCCTCCCGCCTCCCCCCGCCCCCACCCCCGTCTTTAGTCAGCAAAGGCTGCCGGGGACTTCAGATTCTGGAGGGTGGGTACATACATTTCTGACCCAGGAAAGTTCTCACACGTAACCAAAGAAGAGCTACCGTTAAGTTGGTGGCCGGCATGCCTGGAAGCCCAAAGGGCGGCTAGGCGCCCACCACTGAGAGTGAGCAACTGGGTTTTGCCTGCCAGTGACTGCTCCGGCAGTTAGCTAGTATAAGGCCGACGGGACTCTCAGGCTATTGTTGAAGGGAAAGCCAGGTCATTTGCATAAAGATCAGCCCACGTCCCCGGGAGACCTGGACACAGATGTCTGCTCTCATCCTCCCTCGCTCTGACACACGGCGATTTAAGGCCTCTGCGTGAGGGTAACACCAGCCCTCATCCTGTTCTGAGGCTCTGGGAACTCACTGTGAAAGAACAAACGTTCCTGGCTCTGCTCTGGCATTCCTCAGAGCATCCGCTCCCGCCCAAGACAAAGAAGCCGTCCCACACTGAGCTGATTAATGTCTGAGTGGATGTACGCAGTACGGAGCTAGTGTAATCCCGGTGGTGGTTACACAAGGTCGGCAGTTCTAAACCTCCAGCTGCTCGGTGGGAGCAAGGCGAGGATTTCTGCTCCTGAAAGGAGTGACAGTCTGGGAAGCCCACGGGGCACTTCTACCTTGTCTCACAGGGTCACTGAGTTGGACTGGACTCAGTGGCAGCTGAGTTTGGTCAGCAGTGACTGTCAGCAGAGATGAGCAGGTCAGGCAGCAGGGAAGGTAGATGGCTGGAAACGGAGCTGCCAGAATGCGCATGCCTGGGGCACATGCCCTTGGAAAGTGTCCCTGAAGGGGGTGGATCTCTAATAATTTAGATAAAACCGCCCAACAGAGACAGTGCAACACCATACACGGCCCATCAGCCATGTCCTCCCCAACGGGCGGGGGAGAGGAGGGCATCGCATCAAAGTTGACCCTCGCTGACCCCTCTTATAAACTCTTCCTTTGACCGGTACATGGAAAGAACCCTGCACACCTCTCTCTTCTCCGGGCTTCTTCCCAAGACGCAGCTCAGGTCAAGTCCCTATCAGGACCGCCACCCTCGCCTAGGCATTAGGGGCTGTGTCAGCTCCCAGGGGAGGGGCCTCGTGGGGCTCATCCCTCAGGACGCGAGGGGGAAGGGGCAGTTACCTCGGAGAATGGGTGCCAGGCTCTAACTCCTAACACAGTTCCCGTCGTGTTAAAAAGCCTACTAAGACAAGCAAGGAAAACCCTGGTCTCTCAGAGGCACGAACACACCACATAGCGCTTTCTAAGAACTTCTGGGGACCTCCAAGGAGGGGTGAGCTCAGTCAGCAGGGAATCTAGGGATGGGGGAGGTGGTCAGAGACCCCTCCATCCCCACTGGCCTCCCCAGAGAGAAGTGTGGGCTGCAAGCAAAGTTTTACTCCATTTTACTGCTGGGGCTCCTTTGCAGTCAGAAGGAACTTATCTTAACAACAACGATGAACCCCGCAGAACGCACCTGTGCCGGTACGTGTGCCCGCACTGTGCACACGCAAAGTCCCAGGAGAAGGAGCACGCGAAGAGCGACTCCACGGGAGGCTCAAGCTTCAAGAGCAGGGGCAGCGCGAACACAGGACTGTCCATGTCACCTTGAAAAGGAAAAGAAGGTCATCACTGCTCGGCCACCGACAGACAGATGGACATGACCGCCTTCCGCACACACGCGGGCCCTCCGCTCAGCAGTGCGTGGCAGGGGCGGGGCTCGCAGAACCTTCTGCTGAAACCACCGCAGTAGGGCTCATTATCACCATCACTCATTTCCCTCGTGGTCACTGGTGGAAATGTCTACAGATCTTTCTACTAGCTTTTCTCAGTGGGCAAGGAGAGGGGTGAAATTCTTCTGAGCTATATGAGCCCCAGAGTGCATTAAAACAAGAATCCTGTGAGGCGCTTGTCACAGGTACCACACGATGTAGAATAATTCTAAATTTGTCCAAGACACCATTTCCACTCCAACTGGCCGGCTCCATGCGTGGAAGGGGTCAATAAAGCCCACTGCCCACGCACAGAGGCCGCTAGGACAGGGAGAAATGTGCCCCTGGGTTTCTGAGGCTGTCCATCTTTACAGGAGCAGCCTGCCTCATCTTTCTGTGGAGCGCCTGGTGGGTTTGAACCTCGGACCGTTTGGTTAACCGCCAAGAGCTGAATCGTTCTGCCACCAGGGCACCTTCCAGCGTTCCACGAGCAACCTCACATCCTGGCTCTTCATCTGCCACTCTTCCTCTGAGGCTTTGCTATCAGAATGAGACTACCAACATTCAGAGCCAGAAAGGATCGGCATGTTGTTGTTAAAACCAAACAAAACCTAAGCCAAGTAAGTGGCTGCTGTGGGCACAGATTGTTAAGGTGTGCACTGTTGTTTGGGATTCCCGGGTTTCCAAGTGACAGAATGCATTTAGGGGACAGTCTGTAACCGTTGCCATATTCCATGATTTAAGCAAGGCCTTGGGAAGAAGCTGCCAGCTCTTTCCAGAGAGCCGAGACGCTGAAAGTCCAACCTTCAACTGCGATCAAGCAAAGACCCATTTAAAATTTATTCTAGTTTTAATACTTTCTGCTTTCTTTTCAATTGAAGTTTTTTGTTGTGTTTGCTTTCCCAGTTCCTGTGTTTCCGTACATGAAATCCAGGACAGGTCGATCTGTAGACAGTCACTGGATTAACAGCGTCTTAGGGGAACAGCAGGGAGGTTGGGAGGAAACGGGGAAATGACAATAAGCACACGGAAAAAAAAGTCCTAAAGCTGATTGTGGTGATGACTGTACAAGTATTATGACGACTATTGCATTGTATCTGTGAGTTATATATCAATAAAGCCTAACGGGGGGTACGCACAATTCGATGAAATAGACTCCCACCAAATGGTATTTTCCTCGACGAGTCTGAGTAAGAAGGTGGGAGACACTAATTGGATGATGTGGCCCAGCTGTGCGTGTGTGAGCAGGCTTCGTGGTGATTGGCATCCTGCTGAGTATAAAATGAGCCATCTCAGCAGTGGGAGGTGGGCGAGAGAAGAGCTGGGAGTGTGGCACGTCCTTTACACCCCAAGATCTCTGCACACTGAACCTCCGAGACTGGAGGGGGCAGCGCATGAGAAGAAGAGTGCTCTGGGACAGGAGGTCGGCTTGGGACATGGCTGCGGACGCTGGATGGGAGGAGCTAGGCTTGCTAGCCCACAGAGCTTGAGCTGGTGTCTGCAGAAGAAGCGGGCTTGTTGAGCATTTACTGGCCGTGCTTACGACGGCTTTGGAACACTGTAGGCCAGGCAGAGGGGCTGAGAAAGGCCTGCCTGTGAGCCCAGCGGAATATTTATTTATAGCCTGAATATTTACTTCTCTCACCTGAATTGTACCCTGTGGACTTCCCTAATGAACGAGTCATGAGCGTCACCTGTCAGCATCTGTGGGGGCACAGCAATGAATGGCAGGCCCCAGCCCAGAGTGGCTGGACTCAGGGTATGGCTGACCTCTACCTTGTGGCAATCGGCTGTGGGGGAGGAAGAGGTCAGCTGTGGCCGCAGCAGGGCAACTAGACCGGGGAGAACAGCAAACACCCCGAGAAACTCTAACGAAGACCTGCGCCCTCTAACCCAAGATCACCCACCGTTCAGCGAAATGGCAGGGCTGTTCCCGTAAGGGGGGCCTCCACCTGGAGACCCTCAGAGGCGACCAAAAGGGCCAGTGATTTCTCTCAAGCGAAGACGGGAAGAGCGGGAGGCAGGGACACTGGAGTACTGGAAGTGGAGCCGGGGTGCTGCTCCACTCTGAGCGCTGTAGCCGAGGTCACCAGAGGAATCGCAGGGAGACGGTCAAGTGCCAACCCAATTTCTGGGTCTACTCTCGCCAAAATACGATAAAAATTTTTTTGTTGTTGTTGAAAACAAATAGTCTCAGACACCTCAGAAAAAATTGCTGTTGAAAACAACCTAACTGCAGTTCTACCCTGTGCTACTGGGTCACAAAGAGGCGGCATAGCTCCGATGGCGGTGATTTTTGGTTTAGTCATTCTGGGAGGAGAGTCATGCCTGCAGAATGTGCCAGGGAGGGGCCTCAGCCAACACCCCAGCAGCTTCCGGAAAATGCACCCCGGAAGTGGCCATTCACCCAGCTGGTGGCGGCTGCCAGGACCTGGAGGCGGTGAGCGCTAGAAGCAGAGGAGCCTGGGAGGACCGAGTAGGAGACACTTAGACGTTCCCTCCTTCAAGACAGTTGCACACCTGCCCACATCTGTCCACACACACAGGATCGAACACGTAAAAACGTCAATTTCACAATGTGTCGATTCTACTTTAAGAAGAAAAAATACTAATCCTAGCTGATACCCCAACTTGATAACAATAAATGAGCACGGCCTTCCAGACCTAGCAGCAGCAGTGCCAGAGAACTGGCAGGAGGTCCATCGGTTTGTTACTGTTTCAAACCCACTGAACTTGGATGAGGAAGAAACAAAAGGGCAGGATCGTGGGATAAAGAAATAGGTCAAAGGCTGGCTACGGGAGACCAAGCACTACTTGCGGATCTGAGACCTGGGTTTGATGAGAAGCTGCTGCTCCTGCGGCAGGAGCAGGAACACATGCCCTGTGACAAAACCGACAACAGGTGCCCAGCAGAGGCAGCCGTGCAGGACCCAGCAGAGGCAGGCGTGCAGGGCCGGGCTCAGTAACCCAGAGGCCGGCACGCGAGCCACCCAGTGGCCCCCATCTGCTTCCGGTAAACTGACAGCCTAGAAAACTGGACAGCAGTCGCCTGAGTTCCGTCAACTCAAGGACACACAACACCACAGCACGCTAACTCCCGTCACGCAGTCGACTCCACGCTGCACAGCCGCCTGATCCAGCACTGGCAGGGGAAGTTGAATTACGGCAGTTGGTCTAGATCACGGTTTTGTTGTTGTCTGTTGTTTTACTGAGATAGAATTAAGAGATAATAGCTCGGTCCTATTAAGAAGGGTGTGTGGTCTTCATCGCCATCAGCTTTGGTACCTTTTCTTCCCTCTTGTCCCCATTTCCTCTCCCAGATCACCCCACCCACACGTGCACACTGGAGGGGAGGGGCTTCTGCGCCATCACAGGTGGCCGTATCCTCAACGTTTCAGAAGGTGCCCACAGCACAAGGGCTCACGCTGCTCTCCCCAGGGATCGGCAAGGCTGAAAATCAGGGCCTCGCCACGAGCAGCGGGGCTGCCAGGCCGCCTGTATGTACATGGTACCCACAAGTCACCCCACGCAGGTTCTTCAGCTACTGCGCCCGGGTCTCTTCCCCAGGAGTCTGGTCACTCAGTCACAGAACTCTGTACTTCTAATTAGTTCTTCATGAGAAAAGGGGATGTGTAAACAAACAAAGAAAAAGTTCAACCTACTGGGCTGCCGACAGGAAGAGCAGCAGTTGGAAAGCACCGGCTAGGGCCAGTCTTGGAAGTTCAAGGGCAGCTCTGCAGGGCCACTGCGAGTTGGCATCGACTTCACAGCAGTGACTGTGGGGTTTTTCGGAAACGTTTTAAAAATATCTCTCTCGTCCTCACTTCCCCTCTCATTCTTTGCCCACTTTCTGGCAGACGGATTTTTTTTTAACGTAGTTTGATGGCTGGAGTTGAGACAATGGGCTGGGGTCAGTCTGTGCAGAGTTTTGAGAGCACATGCTAAAAACTCAAGATTACTTGGAGAATTAACGTGTGCAAATATATCCTGTTTTGCCCCAATAAAATATTTAAAATGTGTTTTTTTTAATATTTCTTCAGGTTAGTGAGCAACACAGTTACGGTGTACAACCGACTCACCCAGTGTGCACCGGAGCTGGGGTTGAAGCCTGGTGAAAATCGCGTCGCGGGCTGCATTCAGACAGGCCTCTATCTTTGCAGACACTTCTGCAGGCAGGGTTTCACCATTCCCGCCTGGAAAGAAAACACACAGCATCATCACTTCTCCTCCGTCGTTACTTTTCCACCCCAAAGTCAGACGTTAGCAAGAATTCCATGTTCCCTAGATCCACTCCCTTCACACACGTACTGAAACATTCCGAGTACCTTTAATTCGGAACTTTAAAATGTTTTTAAAAAGAAAGGCTCGCTCAAACATCCAAAACCAGACAGGATAAATCAATCCTGGTCTATGGGGGTGACACAGTGAGCTCCTCTTCGGGTGCTAACTAAAGGTCAGCGGTTCAAACCTCACAGCCGCCCTGAGGGAGACCCAAAGCAGCAGCTCCGCTGTCACTGAGACTGCCACTCGGCAGGACCCGCCCGCCTGCCCGTCTGCTGCTCTTCCAGCGTGTGCACGTGGCTCTGAAGTGGAACGAAAATCTGTGCAGGATGTTACCCAGGTGACGGCTTCATTTCTGTAAGAATGTGTGCGTTTATTTATGGCTCTCGGATACTTCTGAAAATCCTTGTGAGGGACGGGACTGGCTCTTGCATCTCAAAAGTCTGCTGACCCCAGATCTACACCATGGAGAACTACTCAGACACAGAGGTGGACAGACTACCCATGTGGGTAACAATGCTGCTGAACATAAAACACATCTTTAATTTTCAGTAAAATAAATCAGACCCAAAAGTATACGACTGTGCACACATGAATCCACACACCAGGGAGCTTTAAAAAAGTTGGTGGCAAAATTCCACAATCTTTTAACTCCCTTTTCCCACGAACTTTTGGACCCTCGTTAGAAGTCTGAGAATAGGCAAAAAATAATGTAGGGCCACGTGGAGGGCAGGGGCGCACAGACTGAAAGGGGCACGAGGGCACTTTCTCAGTGACAGACCTGGGGTAGAGTTTGTTTCCAGTGGTGGTGACTGCGAGCACGGAGCTGTGACCTGAGACCTGCTCATCTTATGCACCCCAATAACACATCCTCCCAGACTCTGAAAACCACGAACGAAAAGAGTCTGGAAGGAATTCAGCAACAAACTCTGCAACAACACAATGTCCCTGCCTCCCCTCCTCTCTCTGGCACCCCACGCACCGCGCTATCCACGCAGGAGCAGCCGTATCAACTGCCTGGCCAATGCCACTCAGCACGGCCAAGCTCTATGTCGGCCAGTCTCACCCACATCACCACCAGCTTCACCAAACAGCTGACCTGTCTGGCCTCACTGCCACACGGGAAGTTAACTCTAACACACATTATTCACCCTAGAGACCACTGCTAATTCATTCACTGCGCTTTGTACACCTAGCTGCTCCCACACGAAGACTTCTAGTCCAGGAACCCTACTGGGCAGTTCTACTGCATCTCACAAGGTCGCTCTCTGTGGGAACGGGCTCAGTGGGGTAAGACCCCGGGACAGATGACATCTGTAGGCAGTCTTTCAACATGTATTCATTTCCCAAACTAACGTTTGTTGTTTTCTTGCCTCCAAGCCTGTTTCTGGGATGTACACAATATACAACTCCACATCTGCTGCTTTCACAGAGGCTCCACCAATAAACTCAGGCTCTACCACCACGCCACCTCACGCCTGGACACGTCAGCTATTCATTGTAGAGAGCAGCATGATCGGCATCTTTGGGCACCTATCTGTCATCATTTTGATTCTTTCTTTAGGTAAATGTTCTAAAAGTAGAATTACTGTGCCAGAAAACCAGCCAAATTAAAATCAATAACAAACCACAGAAGTTGTAGTGCAGTGAATTATTTAATAGGATTCTTCCAGCAGAAAAGCAGCCGGGCAGGCCCTGTAGGGGAAGCAGTGCTACGTGGCTGCTCTGGCTGAAAGGTTGGTGAGT